ATATACTCGACAACGGCCAAGGTTGAACACTATATACATAGATACATATATATCTACTCGTATAATCATTTGGATCGATCGTCTCTCTGCATTTTTGTCCCCTTCTTTCCGTCTTCTAGTTTCTCTTTCTCTCTCCCTCCCTCCTTCCCCACCTCTCTCTTTCTCTCTCTCTCTCTCTCTCTAATGAAAAATCTTTACGTATAATTACCCGTATTTGACGTATAATAATAATTAAAAAATATAATGTTAGAATCGAATAATCTTTAGAATAATTTAATTCATTGAATTTACTCACTATCGTTATCATCTAATTTACAAATATCTAAGTATGGATTTATATGTACTTATGTATATATTTGATATTTTATTTATTTTTTTTTTTTTATTTTTTTTTATTTTTTTTTAATTTCATGCTTCCTTATATTTTTTGTATATACCTTTTTCTCATATATATATATATATATATATATATATATATATATATATGTATATATATATACATAAATAGTATTATAATAGTATTATAAATAGTATATAGATTTTTTTCTATTTTTTTTTTTTACGTTATATACATTGTTTCTTTCCTTTTTTTTTTTTGGCATCAATTCCATTTAACCCTTTCTCTTCAAACATGATCGCTTTCTGGACAATAACGATATCTAATAATATCGTTATTGTGAAAGGATAAAAGTTATCAGAATCATTCTATCGGAAATTATCTATCGATGACTAATTTCGTTTATGAAACGAAAGGTCACAAGGGTAAACAGTCCGAATACGAAGATAGGAAATTCGTTGGAATTACAAGGTCGAACAAGGAATGGATGGGAATGGAAGGCTTGTAGGAATAGAAGGGTAGAGAAAGAGAAGAACGATAGAAAGCAGGCATTGAACTTGAACAATGTGAAATTCCCATTGATATTTATCAAAGATACAAACTACAAAGCTTGTGTTTAGAATTAAACGAGTCAAGCATGTAAAATCGAATTCTCGTTCCGTACATATTCTATATACCAATACACTTTCGATTATTATCGTCCATGAAATGATCAAATTTAATGCAAGGTAGTTCGCAATACTATTACGAATTAAAAGATTTAATATTCATAATTATATATTGTAAAAGATGATCTTGTAATAACGTGATTATAAACGAGGCATGATCTTTTTAGGGGACAAAAAAAAAAAAAAAGAAGAAGATAAAAATAAAAATAAAATTAAATAAGAAAACAATAGAAACCAGAGAATAAGATTTTTTTTCTTTCTCTCTCTCTCTCTCTTTTTTTTTTTTGTTCCATAATAGACGTCTCTTCAGAAAATCAATTGCAATTATTGGCAGAGTAGTATGCTTGTACGTATTACGTAACTAAATGCGCCAATATTATGGCACCATTTTGATTTCTTATCAACTGATTTCCTATATATATAGTGATGCCAAATAATCCTCATTTCTCTTTAGAATTAATTCTTATATATTATTCAAATATATTACAGGAATAATTTTTTCTTTCCTTTTTTTTTTTCTCAACCGCTTTTACCATTGTCTTCTGGTTTTACAAAAAGAAAAAAAAAATTATGATTTAAAACATTACACGTAATGATAAATAAATAAATCGATGATTTTTGCAAAATTAATTTTTTCGTTCTATGAAAGAATTTTATATATTCGTTTCTCCAGGAGATGTTATCTTTCATCATCACGAATTGATAATAATCAGTAATGTTCCAGAACGAAGAATCTAATAAGAAAATAATTGAGTTCTTGGGTAGTAAAAGTCAAACAGCATCGTTCTAAATTAATAACGTGAACGATATACAAAAGAAAGAGAGAGAGAGAAAGAGAGAGAGAGAGAGAGAAAAAGAGAGAGATAAAAGGTTGCACCTTTCTTCATCCTACGAAAAGGTAAAATGGATAGATTTTTGTTCGTTTCGCCGAGAATACAAAAGGGTAAAGTTTATCGTTCAAGTAACGATAGGTAACCCGATTTTTTTTATTGTTATAAAAATTAAAAAAAAAGAAAGAAGAAAAAAAGAACCGCGAACACTCAAACACGCCCGCGGCAGTCAGCAAATATTTCAAGGAAATTTTTTGTGTTCTTTTTTTTTTCTTCTTTTACTCTTTCGATCGTTCATCATGACGAAAACCGTTTAAAGAATTTAAAAAAAGAAAGAAACAAAAAAAAAGAAACAGAAAAACAGAAAAACAGAAAAAAGAGAAAATAAATTTCCTTTTATTTGTTTATTTTTTTTTTTCTTCTTTTCTTTTTTCGCTGGATTAGAACGAGTTTTTCTTGTTACGAAAGAGCATGAAAAAAAAAAAAGAAAAAAAAGAGAAGAAAAAAAAAATAAATGGGTGAACGATTAACATTATACTCAAAAATACGACGATTCGTTTTCATATCGTTGGCAACGATTCTGCTTATCCTAGCATATACATACCTACCTACATATGTAATCTACCATACAGCCAGTACTTACTTATGTATCTAATATTCTGCAATATGTGGGACAGAAATTGCAGGAATGTCATTCATTAATCATTTCCTTCGTTAATTAATACTCTTTAACATACGTTACAATTGTTTAGAATTGTTTCATCACGAACAGTAAGATGAACAGGTAGATTATTCATAGAATCAAAAGATGGATTTTAACGTATCATTGTCTCCCATTGTAATCTCCTTATAGTCGTAAGAGTCTAATAATGCTTTATCACAGATACGTATGAACTTAAATATAAATGTTATATACATATATGCATATATATATATATTTTTTTTATTTTTTATTTATATATTATATTTACAAAATATTCTAATATTACTTTTATAATATAAATATATTATAACATTTATATTTATTATAATATACATATATATATATATATATATATATATAATATTATATAAGTGTGTGATGCATTAAAAAAAAAAGAAATAATAAAAAATAAAAAATAAAAAATAGAAAAAGAAATAATTTCCGCTACGATTATTAAATTGGATAAACGCACCTAGCAAACATATATATATATATATATATATATATATATATATATATATGTAAGCGTATGAACGAAAACAAATTTCTAAAAAAAAAAAAAAAATTTCTCTAGAAATAAACAAAACGTGTCTCTCTGTGTGTACACATACTCGTATTGACATCAAAACATTTAAATGGTAACTGCTCGAAAGAAATTCGATCATTGTCTTTGAAGTATCCCACGTAATACGTAATAAAGAGGGATAAAAGAGGAAAGAAAAGAGAAAAAGACAAAAAGAAGGAAGTATGTACAACATACATACATCATACATACGTACGTACATAGATACATACATACATACATACATATGTACATACATACGTACATACATACACACATATGTATATGCATATATATACATACATAAATATATATACATACGGAAGAAAACGTATTACACGATGTAAGAGGAAAGTAACGAGATCAAGAGCATGAGGGTTGCGGCTCACATCAGTCCCGGTGACCTCGAAACCAAACCGGCCTCTCGCACAAACATATACACTCATATACAAAAGCATAAAATGTAGACACCCGGACGTACACGTATACATACAGAGAAAAAGAAAGAGAGAGAGAAAGAGAGAGAGAGAGAGAGAGAGAGAGAGAAGGAAAGAGAGAGAGGGATAGATACATATACATAACAGATACACACATACACCGAGGAATCCAAAGAGACTTCAGGATCGATATTTGCTCCGCCATTCGTAGACGTACAACTCGATGCAGATGTCACTCAACCAGTCGCGCTCGCGCCTCCTCCAAAATCTCTTCTCTAAATTTTTCTCTATCTCTCAATCTTTATAATTTTTTTTTTTTCATTTTTCTTTTTTCTTTAGTATCTATCTCTATCTCTTATTTCTTTCTTCTTTTCCCTCCCTCTCTCTCTCTCTCTCTCTCTCTTTCTTTCTTTCTTTCTTTTTTTTCCCCCCATTCCTCGTATCTTTCTCATCGTTAACTACTTTAGCCTATCTCTGTTTACAAGAAAAACCACACCTTTACGTTCGATCAATTATAACGTAATGAACAATTCGAACATAATCGTTTATTTATTCGAGATGATGATACAAACAAAATGTATATATATATATATTTTTTTTTTTTTTTTTTTTAAAGGATAAAACAATTATTTTCTTTTTAAATGTTCCTCTTCACATACATATATATGTATATATGTGCGTGTATATGTTAAAAGGAAGGAAGGAGGGACAAAAAAGAGAGAAAGAGGGAGAGAGAGAGAGAGAGAGAGAGAAAGGAATAATAAGATAAAACATTAAAATAATATAAAAAGGATGAGTAAAAGGGCAATGAGGGTGGGTGATGAGGAACGACGCGCTTAACAACGTCGTCGTCTTCGTCTTTGTCGTCGTCATCGTAGTCGTCATCGTACTCGTCATCGTCCTATAAAACGAGAAGGGAAATAAGACATAACAAAACTTACCCACCTCTTGGCAGGATGCTCGAACGACAAGCGAGTCCTTCAACATTCCCAGGAGGAAGTTTTACCTCGAATCTTCTTCGCACGATTTATCTATCTATCTCTCTTCCTCTCTCTCTCTCTCTTCTCTTCTCTTTTCTTTCTCTCTCTCTCTCTCTCTCTCTCTCTTTCTCTCTCTATCTTCCTCTCTCTCTTTCTTTCAAAGGTTGGAGAAAGAAAAAAGGAGGGTTGAGAGTTTCTCGATAAATGATAATAGATTCTCTCTTTCTATCTTCTTTTTCTTTTTCTTCTTTTTCTTCTCTCTCTCTCTCTCTCTCTCTCTCTCTCTTTTTTTCTATTTCTTTCTCGATGAGAAAGCACAAATATCTTAACACCACACTTTTCTCACACTTTTTATATTATTTACTTATTTACTTATTTTACTCTTCTCTCTTCCCTTTTCTTTTCAATTCTTCGATATCGTATAATATATATATATATATATATATATATATTTTTTTTTTTAATTCTTTTTTTTGATATATATATATATATATTAGTAGGCACTTTTCTACCGTGTCGTCTCGATCGAGGGGAAAAAAAGAAACGTAACGTTCGGTTTCGAAGGTGCCCGCGAGCAGAGGAGAATGAAAACGATCCCTCCGCCGTGAGAGTTGCGACGCGATTTACGAGGAAAGACGCTCGCACCTGCACCTTGAAAAAAAAACACCGTTTACGAAACGGATGCTGCCATACTACTGGACGAAAACCGACGTACAGCGCCATCTACGCTGGTAACTCTGGCTCGTCAAACTAGATACATACGACGCTCTCGTTACTATTACATACACCTTGATATATACAAGTGTCCTGCAAAGAGTTCACGTTTCAGAGATCATTTTGAAAGTTTTTCTTTCAAATGAAAAAGGCTTAAAGTAATTTTTCATTCATATCATATATATATATATACATAAGGGCATATTGCGTGAAAGAATTTCGTAAAAAAAAAAAAAAAAGAAAAGAAATCAATGCCATGTACTCTTCACACGTGTTTATTTGAAGAATGATTAAACTGATCTGTTTCGAAAGTTTCCAGCCAGTTTCCACTATAAATCTTTTAAAGGTCAGTGAGAGTTTACATTCGTATAATATTACGCAGTATTATTATCATTATTTCAGTTTTTGATCGACCACTTTTTTATAAGCTTAATATGATTCGTACGATATCCGTTGAAGTATACGTCAAGATTGTGATAAAATTATCGATAAAAGGAATGTCGTCGTTTCGTGAAATTCCTTCGACATTGTCTATCGGGGAAAAGTACAATAAACGATATAATTAAAAGATATCGTGAAGGATATGATGTAGAAGATCAAAATCGCGAAGCGGAAGGCATCGTAAGATAAGGAAAAAAATTTGATAATGTAATAAAACAAAAGTCAATTGTGAATTCCAAGAAGACGGCTGTCGATATAGTTTAGTTGAATTACAAGAGAAAAATATTATTGATCTTAGTTAGATGTATAGTAATAAGAGGATTACATGATGTAAAACTTTTTGTTAGTAAAAAATCATTAATCATTGAGAGAAATAAGATGTCTTGATTAATGTTTATCCAAAAAAAATATTATGAATGGATTATTAAAGATTCGAGAATTGTTCTTTTTACGGACAAAACTAAATTTGAAATACCGTTTGAATGTGATGAAAAACATTATGTGAGACATCCGATTGAGGCAAGAAATAATGTCAGATATTAAAATTGGCAATTATTAAACATAATGGAAAATGCATTATGGTATAGGGAATCTTCCTTAGCTCAAGGTATTGAGGTCTCTTATAAAAATTGAGAATTAAAAATTGAGATGAATGGGACGTCTTATATGAGAAGATTTTTAAAAACTAAAATGAATTTTTCAATCAGCTGACATTCAATGGAAATTGAATATATTTCAGGAGAGATGAAACTTTCAAATGAAAATGTATAAAAATTTTAATAGAAACTAGTATCATTTTAAAATTTAATATATTAATTGAATAAAATACAAGAGGATTATATTAATCGGTTAATTGTCAATTTATGTATTTTTTTTTTTTTTATCATTGTGCTGTTGTTATTGCTGCGAAACTCTTAAACTTGATATTAATTATAATAAGTTAAGTAATAAGAAAAAAGATATTAATTATAATATGTTAAGTAATATATAAAAAGGATTAGGAAATTTTTAATGTATTAATTCTTTAAATAAACACGTGTGAAGAATAATTAATATTGATTTTCTTTTTTGTAATGTTCTTTAACGTAACATGCCCTTAGATACGATATTAATAAAAATTTCTTAAGGAATTTACTTTTGAAAAGAAAAATTGTAAGAACCATTCGATTGAGAATTTTTGCACATCATTGTGTATATCATTTTCACACGAGACATCGTTCATTTTGCGACATCTTAAAAGCTTCAATTCTTTTAAAAATTTCGTCCTTTAATCGATTTACAGCAAATGTGAACACTTTTTTGTTTTCTTTTTTTTTTTTCTTCTTTTTCATATTTCTTTTTTATAATATATATATATATATATATATATATATATATATATATATATATAAATTGTCATAGATTTATCGTTCAGAATTAATACGACGTATAATATTTTTTTTTCTCGTTATATTTCGATATTTTCAAGATGCAACATAAAGGGACTTCGTAATGTATTACACAAAGAAATCATAAATATATTTGCGTAATAAATTTTTAACATTGTTAGATGTCAATTAAATTGTCGATTTTTTCTAATGTATCTACGACGATTCGAGAAAATATTCAAAGATAAAAGTTTTAATGCGTGGGGAAATGCGATCAGTTCATAATCCATCTCCACCTATCAAATTTATCCTGACTGGTCATACGAAGTCAATATTTTGTTTGTCGAGTATACGACAAATGAACGTTTTATTAATAGCAAGACAAAGTCTAAATTAAACAATGTGATTGTCTTGTAATTACTTGATTAAATTTATTTTTTATTTAAATAAAGATAGAGAAAAAGAGAGAGAAAGAGAGCATCTTATCGACAAGACCATTGTTTTTGTTTTTTCTACGTACAAAGGCAACAACTTAAACGTCAAATCGACGTGATAAATTTGTTAAATAATTAAATTAGAACAAAAGGAAATAGTTCTAACGATCAAGGTTAGACACTCATTGAGTCATCTTGTCACGAGGGACATAAAAATAAACGAATACGTTTGATAATAAAACAGTAACGATGTCGTCATTTTAAAACATTCCTTCAAATTTTTGATTATTCATCGAACTAGAAAAAATTTATCTAGATTGAATTATGTTAAACATAATTGAAATTTTAATAATAATAAAAATTATCAAGATAATAGGAGAAAAGTGTAATGTGTATGATTTTCAAATAGCCCGCCAAAAGGAGTTGCTAACTAATCAATCGTACAACGAGTCCGTTGACGTTAGTGTTACTATAAAAAATAATTACGAGCATATGTGTAGAATAAGCGATTTACTATAAATATTTTAAATGGACAATAATTGATATTACGCATGATGTTCGATGCGACGAGTTTAATTGGTTAAAATCCGTTTGTATCGCCCCAATTTTTATTATGACGTGTCTGGTCAACGTGCCGCCAGGCGCATGCGCAGTGCCACCTTACGTGGCATCGGCAGCAGTTGCTCTTGCAGATGAGTGAATGTTCTTCGTTTAAGTGTAAACATTTGTGAAGATATTAAGTTTTGTTATGATTTAAATGCGTTTAATCACGTAAGTGGGCATTTAGAAACTTAAAACATTCGATAATACTCTCGTTCTTCTGATCGCTCGTAAGTAGGAGTTTCAGTAACGTAATGGCATGTTTCCCCCATTCGCTTTTTTAGGTGTACAATATTTAATGCGAGTTATATTGAATTGTAATAGTATATATATATATGTGACATCTAAGTTATGTATGCCTTTGATGTCGCAGGTATTCGCAAGACGTAACTAACGTAACGTATAGGTTATATCACAACGTGAGAAATGTCTGGACCATCCATTAAAGGGCAGCAGTATCCCCCCATGCCGGGACCACCAAATCCAGGACATCATTATTCTGAACCTCCTAATATAAATGCACCACCTTTATCTGGCCAACCAAACATGTTTCCACCACCATTGCCGAATCAACAAAATTTTGTCAAATCACCACCTTCAATGATGGGACAACAGAATTTTTCTGGTTTACAATCCTCTGGATATCAAATGCAATCTAATACTCAACCTCCAATGACAAATACGTCTGGACCACCCAAACATCCTATGTATTCTATTCCACCTACTAGCCATGGACAGTTATCAAATTCTCCTGTTCCAAATCAACTTCCGCAATATCCAAATCCTATATCACATAATAATCAAAATATGCTATCTAATCCTTCAGCTTCGATGCCACTCAATAGTCAAAATATAATGCCTAATACGGCAGCGTCAATGCCACCTAGCAGTCAAAATTCAATGTCCAATGTTTTGCCTCATATGCCACCTAGTAGTCAAAGTCCAATATCTAATCTTCCAGGAAAAATGCCACCCAGTAGTCAAAATGTTATGTCAAATACGGCAGCACAAATGCCACCAAATAATCAAAGCTCTATGTCTAGTACATTGCCTCAAATTCCACCTGGTACTCAAAATATGATTTCTAATACCATGGCACAAATGCCACCAAATAATCAAAATTTGATAAACGCTTCGGCTCATATGCCACCTAGTTCACAAAACATGTCTAATGCTACAGCTCAAATGCCACCTAGTTCTCAGAACATGATGTCTAATACTGCTCCTCAAATCCCACCTAGTTCACAAAATTTTATGTCTAATTCTGGTGCTGAAATGCAACCCAGACCGCAGAACATGATGTCTAATACTGTTCCTCAAATGCCACCTAGTTCACAAAATTTTATGTCTAATTCTGGTGCTGAAATGCAACCCAGACCACAGAGCATGATGTCTAATGCTGCTCCCCAAATGCCACCTACTTCACAAAATCTTATGTCTAATTCCGGAGCTGAAATGCAACCCAGATCACAAAGCATGATGCCTAATGTTGCAGGTCAAATGCCACCTAGACCGCAAAATATATCTAATACTTCGGCTCATATGCCACCTAACTCGCAAAATATGATGTCTAGTAACCTTTTGGCTCAGATGCCACCTAGCTCACAAAATATGTCTAATACATCGGCTCAAATGCCACCTAGCTCACAGAGTATGATGTCTAACACTATGACACAAATGCCACCTAGCTCTCAAAATATAATGTCCAATGCTCCACCTCCAATGCCATCAAGTTCTCAGAACATGATGCCCAATGCTTTGGCTCCAAACCAACCTCCTATGTATCCTGTAGAACAAAGTGGACAAAGTCATATACCACCTTTACCTGGTTACCCTTTATCTCAACCGGGACGACAATATCCTCCTGCTCCTCCAGTGTCTGGGCAACCCATGACAAATCCTGGTCTTAATCGTCCAATGCCTCCACCTATGACAAATTATCAACAAGGAGGTTATTCTCAACCAGGATATCACAATCAGATGGTAAACATTAATTACAATGAACTGTCAATATACTTTTATGTTCATAAACTTTCATTGTATACTTAACAAGTTATTTTTTGTCAGGATATGTATGGAAATCAAAGAAGTCCTTATTATAGTAGTCTATCTACAGAAAATTATCAGTCAGGCATGCAATCTCAACCAGCCAAACGTTTGGATCCTGAACAAATGCCCAGTCCAGTAAGATATTATCAACATTTTTCTGAACATTTCAAGCGGATATAATTTTAATAAATATTTAACTTTATAGATACAAGTTATGCAAGATGATCAATGTACAAAAGGTGGTGTCTTTGCTACAAATCAAATAGGATTAGTTCCACCATTGGTAACTACCAAGTTTGTAACACAGGATCAAGGAAATGCATCCCCTAGATATATTAGATCCACAATGTATACTGTTCCTACTACAGCAGATGTTTTAAAACAAGTAAATATAATTTGATTAAAAAAATATTTAAATATATCTATTATAGTAGTATTAAAATAAATTTAATTTTGTAGACTAGGGTTCCTTTTGCTTTAATATTAAATCCAATGGCATGTGCTGAAGAAGGAGAATATGAACCGCCAGTTGTAGATATGGGAGAAATTGGCCCAGTTCGTTGTGTACGTTGTAAAGCATATATGAGTCCATTTATGCAATTTATTGATGCTGGACGTAGATTTCAATGCATGTTTTGTAAAGCTACAACAGAAGGTAAAATGCATTGATAAAACTATTAAAAGAGACCATTCGATTATGTTAATAAAATCTAATAAATATTATTTTTCGAATATCAGTACCAGCAGAATATTTTCAACATTTGGATCATAGAGGTCAACGTATGGATCGTTATGAAAGACCAGAATTAATGTTGGGAACTTACGAATATATTGCTACAAAAGAATATTGCAGAGTAAGGAAAAAAAAAAAAAAAAAAAAAAAAATTGAATTTGAGATGAATTTTTATTTTGTATTATTTTTGTGTTATTAATAATTATTGTCTTTTTTGCTTTTTGTTTTTTTTGTTTAGAACAATGTTTTCCCCAAACCACCTGCAATTATATTTGTCATTGATGTTTCGTACAACACAATTAAATCTGGTTTAGTAAATTTATTATGCGCGGAAATGAAATCCATAATAAAACACTTGCCAGTTGACGTTGATCAAACAAAGTCAAATATGAAAGTGGGTTTTGTAACGTACAATAACACAGTACATTTTTACAATGTTAATCCATGCCTTACTCAACCACAAATGATGGTTGTGGGTGATGTACAAGATGTATTTATGCCTCTCCTCGATGGATTCTTATGCGACATCAAAGAAAGCGAGACAGTTATCGATAGCCTGATGGCACAAATACCTGCAATGTTTGCAGATACACGTGAAACAGAAACTATTTTGGCTCCTGCTATACAAGCTGGACTAGAAGCATTAAAGGTATCTATTAAAGTATTTATTTATTTATTGTTTTTTTTTTTTTTTCTTAAATTTAATTTTATACCTTATTACAGGCTTCAGATTGCACAGGAAAATTAATAGTATTTCATTCGTCTTTGCCTATTGCCGAAGCTCCAGGAAAATTGAAAAATCGTGACGATCGCAAATTACTTGGTACTGATAAAGAAAAATCAGTGTTAGGTATGTGTATACGTATATAAATTCTCGTAAATAATTTTATAATAAAATATTAATGTTTTATATTTGTTTCTTTCATAGCTCCACAAAATAACGTTTATAACAATTTAGGACAAGAATGTGTCGATGCAGGATGTAGCGTTGATCTTTTTATTTTTAACAATTCGTATGTGGATATTGCAACTATAGGTCAAATATGTCGGCTAACTGGAGGTGAAGTTTATAAATATACATACTTTCAAGTAAGTTACAGTTTATACAAAAAATCCAATTACAAATAACATTGCAAATAGCACTCACTTATGAATTAGGCTGATGTTGATGGTGACAGATTGGTATCGGATGTTATTACTAATATCAGTAGACCAATTGCATTCGATGCACGTATGCGTTTACGTACTTCTACCGGTGTTAGAGCAATAGATTTCTATGGACATTTCTTTATGGCAAATACCACGGAAATGGAATTAGCTAGTATAGATTCTAATAAGGTAAGGATTAAAGGAAATAAATCGTTTATGATAAATTATGTATATGGATAATATTGGAATTTTTGAGTTTATTTCATTAAAATGTTTAGGCTGTTGCCGTTGAAATTAAACACGACGATAAATTGACGGAAGACGAAGGTGTATATATACAAGCTGCTTTATTATATACCTCTTGCGGAGGAATTAGGCGATTACGTATTTTAAATCTCAGTTTGAAGACCTCTTCGCAAATGGCCGAGTTATATCGTACTTGCGATTTAGATGCTATTGTTAATTATTTCTCCAAACAATGTAAGAGTTTTAACGTTAACTTTAACTTGTAACTTTTCTGGGTGAAAAGGAAAAAGAAAAGGAGGGAGGGGAGGAGGAGGAGGAACCTTTCTATTGCGATTATTAATAATTTCGTTTATTATGCGTTTTGTTTTTTTTCCTTTTTTTCAGGTGTGTTTAAATTAATCGAATCAACGCCAAGAGCCGTAAAAGATAACTTAATCATAAGATGTGCGAACATACTTGCGGCTTATAGGAAAAATTGCGCGTCTGCGTCGAACGCCGGTCAATTGATATTACCGGAATGTATGAAGTTGCTTCCGTTATATGTTAATTGCATATTGAAAAGCGATGCAATTACTGGTGGTAAGTTTATTTGAATTTTGTATTTTAAATGTATAATAAATAATTTTGTATAAATCGTTTTAATAAATGGATAACACATATAATTTCTCAGGCTCGGATATGACAATAGATGATAGATCATTTGTTATGCAAGCGGTTGCTACAATGCCTATTTCAACATCCATTGTTTATATGTATCCCAGATTACTTCCTTTACATGATGTTGATCCAGATAGTACAGATTTACCTCAGATGTTACGTTGTTCTATTGACAAATTTACAGAAGACGGAGCTTATTTACTTGGTACATATAACAAACAAATTTCTCTTTATTTGACCTTTTTTTTTTTATATCTGCGACTTGTTAAAATAATATGTTTTTTTTTCTTTTCTTTTTTCAGAAAACAGTGTGCATATGTTCTTATGGTTAGGTGTAGCACTTTCACCGCAATGGGTGAAAGCAGTCTTTGACGTACCTTCGGTAATTAAGGTCGATACTGATCGCACTACACTGCCAATATTAGATAATACATTAAATAAAAGAATAAGAGAAATTATTGATCAAGTACGAACCGAGAGACATCGTTGCATGAGGGTGAGTTAATATTTAAAAAATATATTTTAATAAAATCTGTAAGATATCTATTTTTTTTTTTTTTTTTTTTTTGTCTTTCTTTCTTTCTTTCTTTCTTTTCTCTTTTACTTATTATATTTACTGATTTAATTGTTATAGTTAACGATAGTAAGACAGAGGGAAAAGTTGGAAATGGTATTACGTCATTTCTTAATAGAGGACAGAGGAAACGATGGTAGTCCAAGTTACGTTGATTTCCTTTGCCATATGCACAAAGAAATACGAGAGATTCTTAAGCCGTAAATTGATTTTTTTTGAAAAATGGATTGTATATGTTCTATTCGAAAACTTATATAGTTCCGCGTCCAACTGTGATTCTTGTCATAATATTTTTTTTGTGCCAAGGATCGGTCACGAAATAATTATGGGATTTGATGAAGAATTAGTGAGAAACGTGGTATTGTATAGGTGCAATCGTGTGTGTTATGAAAAAAGAAAGAAAAAGAAAAAAAGTGCAAAGTGAAAAATTCATTAATAATATAAATATACATATATTTATATATATATATATATACATACATACATATATATATATATATATATACATATATTATATACATATACCTATAATACATATTGAGAAGTGAGCGGATGGACTTATATATATAAATATTAAAGAAAAAGAAAAGAAAAAAAAGAAAAAAAGAAAAAAAAAGAAGAAGGAGAAGAAGAAGAAGGAAAAGAAAACAAATAAATACAATTAATCATTCCGCATCAAAAGCCAGATATATGCGTAACGAAAAAGAGGAACACAGACACGCTCATATTCACACAGTGATTTATACATGAGAGCAACTGTAAACCTAAAACTTGTATTATTATCGCGATATAACACTTTTATTTTATCTAGCTCATTATTATATATCGTTATTAATATACTAAATTAAATATTAAAATGTATTAAATCATTATAAATTTATATTGAAATCATAATATTGATTTTTGTGCTCTTAATTGAATAATGCGCGTATGAGAAACAGGATGATTCATTAAGAGGTAAGAGATTGATTTTAATACGGAATTAATATTTTTCAGAAATGGAAGAAAATGAATGAAATCTTTTTTCATCTTCGCAGTTGTCTGTAAAGATGTTCATACAAAAATAAGTTAACACAAAAATAACGAAATAGATCCTCGTCTAATGCAATATTTAATATGTAATTGTTAATCTCTCCTTTCCCAATTGACATACATTTTAAATGTTCGTGTATCTGTTTAATTTAAAGATATTAAATTTATCAGTAATGTTTTTTCTTTTTCTATTTTTTTTTCCGTTTTTTTTTGCTTTTTTTTCTCTGTTTTTTTTTTCTGTTTGTTTTTTTTTCTGTTTTTTCTCTCTTTTTTTTTTTTTTTTTTTTTTTTTTTCTAATAGACATTTCCAAGCCAAATAATTTTTTTTTTTTAATTGATGTAAGAGCTTACATACTCGTTAGAAAAATTTTAATACTAAATGCCAACGAAAAGGTCAACCAGAATATTCGCACGATCGAGTGGCGCTCCCGTGATTGGTGAAACTGCAGTAATGCATTCCAATATACTAAAGTCGTTCAGTCGCTTTAGTTACTTTCAACGAATCAGATCGTATTGTCGTGAAATGTGATAATATTTATATCGTTATAAACATTTGCATATATACACATTTCATTGCACTTTTATTTACATACATATATATATTTATATATGTATATATAGATAAGTTGATATTTATAAAAAAAAAAAGAAAAGAAAATTAAAGAAATTTTTATATTTATAGTGAAGGTATTAAATATTATGACGAATAATTAAAAGTGAATATCGACTTACTGATAAACATTGTTTTCTTAATGTATACAATATCTCAAAATAGGTAAGTCAATTTTTTACTGTAAAATTTTTTTTTTCAATTGAATAATGCACTTATGAAAATTATATTTATATTGATATACATGCATATATAAAATAATATATATTTCATTAATTTTCATAGAATAATCATAGGGAAGATCATAAAAATATTATTATTATTTTATTCATTCGAAAATAATTATATCGATGACAATTACCTTGTCGTATTCTCAAATTAATTTCATATATCGTATGTTCAACATCTTTTCAAATCAATCGTACATTCGATAATCGTTTTATTCGATAAGTCATAATCTCCATTATGATAATCATATGGTCAGATAATAATAGAAAAGATACAAATTAAATGAGATTTTTTATTAAAAATATATTTGTCAATTCATTTATTACAATTATATATTTAATCAAGCAAGAAGGTATTGTACGATTTAATTAAGATGCATCGTAAAAATATGCATCTTTTAAGCCGATTTATAAATCTGGGTTACAAGTACTTTCATGTTTATACGGTTTGTCTGCATCGGAATGTACGTTTTCTACTTACTCAGGAAAAGCCGGAATAACTTGAAACAGTTAAGAAGATTAAAGCGTTGATATAGTTTGCCTAATTAAGAACAAATACCGTAAAAGGATCAAGGATCTATTGATACATATTTATCCAGTGTAATATCGTTTCATTGGATTTGTCGTTGATCGATTCGTTCATAATGTAAAGATTACAAATATAAAATAATAATTAGAAGAAAATAATAACCTGCGATATTTTCTGTTTAGTTTTTGATTAACTATCGTTCGACTACAATACGAAAAAAAAAATATATATATATATATATCAATGATATAGTATCTAAAATCTCGATGATAAGACTGCTATGTTCTGTTCCACTTTCTCTGTGCCGGTCAACAGAGATTCGTTATGTATATGTATGTATATATATATATATATACATATATATATATATATATATATATATATATATATATATGTGTATGTATGAAGTTTTATGGAATTACGAAAATATTTTTATTTTTAGCTGAAATATCGAATAAAAAGGAAAATGTTCGAACAGCCGTGTTTTTACAATGACTTAAAGTACGACGAAGCTTGTGTTAAATTAAGAAATGAAGATAAATCGAATGCATGGCTTTATGCACTTTCATCCGATTGCGTTTCGGTAGGTTTTAATTAAACAATTATTATTGATATAATTAATTAACGAACGAATCGATATTTTCAAATTATTATTATTTTAATTTTACTCTTTATATTTTATTTTCATTTTTGTTTGGGTTTTTTTACTTTTTTTACTTTTTTACTTTTTCATTTATTTATTTATTTATTTATTTTTTTTTTTTTTTATTAAATTCTCCTTTCTTCCTTCTAGTGTCCGTACGGTCGGATATCTTCGATTTCAACCGCAAATTACAGCGTGAAATTTAATACTGCCAGATCTATGAAATGGGCGGTACTGAACGTCGATGGTTCTAACGAATATATATCTGCTAAAAATATCAGGTATTAAACACGTGTTTCTATAAATCTTGAAATGATACAAGATATGATTTTATTCGGCCATTTTATACCTTTTTTTGTTTTCTTTCTTCTCTTTTATTTTTCTTTCTTCTCTTTTTCTTTTATTTTTAGTAAAGCAATATGCAAACTTTCTCCAAATTTAGGAGAATACGGCAGTTATGAATTATTAATTCGAAACGATAGTTGTTTCCTTAATACACTGATACGACCGACCAATTCTTACATCAGTGAGTTTTACTTTTTTCCTTTGATATATTTTGAAATTGTTAATTTTTATTTGTATATGTATATGTATATATATAAAAAAAAGAAAAAAAAAAGAAAAAAAAAGAGAAAATTATATTAAGAAGATTTCTCTTTTACCGTAGCTCTCCTCATTATTTTCGGTATAATAATATGCTTTCTAATTGGGATATCATTGTCGCGACAAATATGGCAATTGATTCAAGAAAAATGTATGAAACATGCCAATGATCAATTAGCTAACGATCCTACCAAGAAACGACGAGTGAAATCCATCGACACATTTAGGGGGTAATAATAAAGCTATTTAATTAGAGACATTTGAAATAAATTAAATTAATCGTAATTATAATTTCGAATACCGTATAGGATTAGCATTGTGTTTATGATATTTGTTAATAACGGTGCCGGAGGATATTATCTATTGGAACATGCAACTTGGAACGGTTTATTGATAGGAGATTTGGTCTTTCCGTGTTTCATGTGGATTATGGGAGTTTGTATTCCTATAGCAATATCCTCGCAATTATCACGTGGCGTTTTAAAATTAGAAATGTTTTTTGGAATTCTTAAGGTAAGATAGAATTAATACAAATTATAATAACGTGATTAGAATTTCTTTTGTTTCTATTTTTCTTTTCTTTTCTTTTCGTTCTTTGTTTTTTCTTTTTTTTTTTTTATTTTTTTTATTTTTATTTTTTTTTTTTTTTTTTCTTTAACAGAGAAGTATCTTGCTATTTCTTATTGGCGTTGCATTAAACACTCTTGCCAGTATGCCGCAGCTGGAAAACATACGAATATTCGGTGTATTGCAAAGATTCGGTGTTGCCTATCTTGTAGTTGCTTTGATGTTTCTATTTCTAACACCGAGAAAACCTAAAAAAATTCAGGTGAGATATATCGTGTAATATTGAAGAAATCTCTATGCATAAAATTTGAACGAATAATATGATTTATGCACGATTAATGATGCACTTCTTTCAGAGTCTAATGCATCAACGATTAAAGGATATATCAATTTTATTGCCACAATGGATCATAGTTTTGTGTATCGTCGTTGTTCATTGCTTGTTAACGTTCAAACTTACCGTACCAGGTTGTCCCACGTATGTACGTATGATTTCGATCGATTTCAAATTATTATAGAAAATCAAATAAGTGACGTTATCACAGAGGCTATCTCGGTCCTGGTGGACGTCACGAAGATGGTAAATATTTTAATTGTACCGGTGGTGCTGCTGGATATATCGACGATCTGATCCTAACACCTAATCACGTTTTTCAAAATCTATTGATAATCACGATTTACGGATCTAAACCCTTCGATCCTGAGGGAATTTTAGGTAAATAAAGGATTAAAAAAAAAAAAAAAAAATGGAAAGCTTATTCTTAAAAGAGATAATCTTTTATTATTTTAGGTTGCATGACAACAATATTCCAAGTATTTCTTGGAGTCCAGGCAGGAGAGATTTTATTGTGCTATAAGGATTGGAAGGACAGGGTCGTAAGGTGGCTCCTATGGGCAGTATTTTTAGCTATCGTAGGATTCCTTGCCCATGTTTACGTCATACCTGTTAATAAAAATTTATGGTCGTTATCATTTGCATTGGTAACGACCGCTTTTGCTCTTGGTCTTTTATCAGCTTGTTACTTACTAGTGGACGTTGCAAGAATATGGAGAGGTGGACCATTTCGAATACCTGGTAGGTAATTAAAGTAATTGAAAAAAAAAAAAAAAAAATAAATAAATCACATTTTTCTCTTTTTTCTTTCTTTCTTCTTTTAATAAAATTTCTTTAACTTTTGATCGATTTTAGGAATGAACGCTCTACTTATGTACATCGGTCATCAATTATGCTATCAAATCTTTCCATTTCATTGGCGTATCGGTAATATGCAAAGTCGTACTTTGGTATTGGTAGAAGCCATTTGGAGTGTTGTCCTATGGACAATCATAGCTTACATAATGCATCGTAAGCGAATGTACATTACATTGTGATCTAACGTTACTTTGTCAGAATATTTATTTGGATTTGGGATATAAATCGATCTTTTCGGCTTGATAAATAATTTATTTTACACGACTTACATTAAGTAACATAATGACAGTGTGCGTGAGGTAATCGTTATTACCAACGTATACTTTAATACGAATTTATATTAAGTACATTGTTTCTTTTATTGTATTTTTGTAAACTTTTTTTTTCACATTTTTTTCTTTTTTTTAATTATTAATCATTATTATTATTATTATTATAATTATTATTATTATTATTATTATTATTATTATCATCGTCATCATCATCATCATCATTATTATTATTATTATTATTATTTTTTTTTCTTTTTTTATTTTGTTATCAATCGCAAGAAACGATTAGTCCATCGTTGAATTTTTCGGGCACATTAAATAACGCGATACATTTTCGACATAATTAATAATATGACTAAACATGTAGCTCTTTTCTCAGATTCGTTTTATTTTTTTTTTTTTTCGACACACCGTAGAATGATTTGATAACGAATCTATTAAGCGGAGAGATATGAAAGGAAAAAAGGAACGTGGGTTATGTTTAGGCTTCCTTGTAAAGATAAAAAGAAAAAACGCCGCCATCAATATCGATATGTACGATACAGACGATTATATTAATATGTAAAGAAGATAAACAAAAAAAAAAGAAAGAAAGAAAGAAAGAAAGAAAGAAAGAAAGACAGAAGAAAAGAAAAGGAAAGAAAGGAAAAGAGACAAAAAATAAAACACACTAATAACGCAGCAGCTTTCCTAAGTATCATAACACCGATATCTGCATTCAGTAATCGGTTGCATCGGGTCCTGCAAAATGAAAGACAAATATTAATGTCGGAATACGTAGGAAAAAAAAAAAGACACAAAAAAAGAAAAAGAAAAATGATCGATTGATTTATATTTTTATTCAATATTTCCTCGATAAAATACGTTAAATATTTCAAAACTAGCAAATGGAACAACGTGCAATGCTAATAAAATTGTATTCATATCATTTATTATTTTTAAATTCTACAAATACACACATATATATATATTATTTATTTATTTATTTAATTATTTATTTACTATTTCAATAGATATGCCTCGATAAGATATAATTAAATAGCTATGTTCTCCTTTGTATTTTTCTTTTTTGTTCTCTCTTTTTACTATCCAATCGATTTTATCGAATGTTTTTTAAACGATTCGCCAGCAAGCATCCTCTTGGTCCTCGATTACAATAAATTTCATTTACGTTAAACAAATAATATACACGAATGTAATAGCACTTTCTACGAATGGAACTGGTGCGATCGTTAGTAAAATTTACTCGTTTAGTAAACAATATAATCATGCAATACATTTATATATTATTCCGTTGTCATCGTAATTCGAAAAAAAAATATATATATATATATATATATATATATATAATCGAAGCTGCTAAAGAATATAGAAATTCTCATTTGCGTTAGAACAGTTATGTGAGTGCATGCATGTGTCACCCAAAATATCCCGCAAACTAGTTATGGAAATGACACTCTGGCTTGAGAACCCGTTTGTCCAAGCTAGATTTGATATTTTCAACGATCTTTATATATACATATACATACATACATACATATATATATATATACACACGTATATATAGATGTATTTTTTATTTATATTTTCGAAAATTATATAGACCATAATGATTGACCGATTGGAAATGAAACGAGTGTTAGAAACTAACGATGAAATAAAAATAATGATATTTAACGGTACGGCGTATATTTTACGTAAGATATGTATTATTTTTTTTTATCATGAAACGGGACACAGGATTGATTAGGCGATACGAGGATATATTTTTCGTCGACGATAAATGAATACGTTTTATCGATAAGATAAATTTAATAAAAAAAAAAAAAAAATGAAAAATATATCATTCTCATTAACGTGTTTTCGCGTAATTCGTGGAGCACAAAAAAGAAAAAATACAAAAAAACAGGCTAGTAAAGATGAAAGATAAAGAGAGAGAGAGAGAGAGAGAGAGAAATATAGAGAAAGGAATAAAAGATAGAAGAAGAGAAAAAGAGATAGGCATAGAGTTAGGAAATGGAGACAATAAGAGAGAGAGAGGGAGAGAGAGAAAAAGAAAAAGATAGGAATATAGAGAAAGGAATGAAATAGAAGAAGAGAAAGAGAGATAGACATAGATTTAGGAAATGGAAACAAAAAGAGAGAGAGAAAGAGAGAGAGAGAGAAAGAGAGACAGAGAGAGAAAAAGAGAAAGACGAGTATACGACAAACTATATGTACCGATAGAAAAAAAATCACATAGCCTGTAGCTCCCCGGGCATTAGTCGCCCAGTCGTTGCGAATTTCGAGAAAAGTTGCGCGAAGCTCGTTCCGTGGACCGGTTGCTCGCGGCCAAACACGGCCTCACTCTGCCCCGGGCCATCAGCAATGGTCGTTTTCGACGTAGGATAGGGGAAGGGTCGTTGGTGAAGATCTAACAACCGATGATGGGCCGCTCGATCCGTTCGTCTTGCATCCTTGTAAAGTCTGGGGAACGCTTTTGGTACTTTTGATGCGTGGACAAAGAACGTTGACCTTATACGTCCAATAAGGAATTTTACTTTCGAGTATTTTAAATGCCATAGACGGTAAAACTTCATGAGTTTGATCGTGATTATTATTTGCTTTTGGACTTTTCCATGCTTTGTAATATGGATCATCTTTGGAAATATTTCTATCCTGACGTTGCTGTTGACCAAGCTGCCGATTGGAATCCAATTCGGATTCATTTAATTTTCTCCATGATTGTTCGCATATCGGTGAATATTCGGGCGATGTTAATCCGCTCGAATAGTTCGAACAATAATTCTCGTCGTAATTGAACGTGTGTGTATTCAATGGTAAACTAAGGTATTCTCTCTTCAACGGCGAAGAACCCAATTCACCATCGGCAACTTCCGTTGTATCTTCTGTCAAGATCGAATCGTCGTTGAGTAACCTGAAAAGACGCGAATGCGTTTGTGTTCTTTGATATTTTCTTAAATTCTTCGTAGACGTACACTCAGAATCTGTGTCCACTTCGGATATCATTCGGCTCATGTCCGACGTCACGCCGCTATCTTCGTCGTCTGTCTCCTCTCGGGAATTTTGTACGCTCAACAAATGTTTCATTTCTTTTCCATTACGTTCGACTTCCAATTCGACGTAACTTTCATCTTCCTGTTGATTGATATCCTTGGTTGAATTTCCCTCTTCATCTACGATTTTACGATCATCCTTTTTTCCTTTTATTAAATTTCTCGAATTTTCTTTATCCTCGTCCCAAATACACTCGGACACTACAATTTCCGGTTCTATTATTTTATCATCGATATTTATCAGATCGTTTTTATCAATCGACACGGGACTCGATCGATCCTGATTATTTTTTACGATTTTTTCTCTTTGCCTTTCACCATCGAGCTTCCTCTTCTCCTTTCTAACGTGACTGGTAACGTCGACTTTCTTTGACCTAATCGTAAATTCTGTTTCAATGGATTCATCGCAATTCACTCTGTTAACTTTAGTAGGTACTTTTCTTAAGGTAAAATTAACGTGTGCCGTGTCTTCGGTTTTCTCGTTCATTAAAACCTTTTCAATTTCCTTCGTAGATTTCGCCATTGTTCCTGGTCTCTTCAATGTAAAATCTACTGTAGTCTCTTCTTCCATTGATCGATGATTTTCTTCGAGACTCGAAGCTCGACTTTTTTCGGATTTTATTTTACTATCACCTACGATAACCGTGGTAACGTCTTCGTTGTTCTCAGATACAGAGAATTTAAATCTCAAAGGTAGACTAACGCTGACAGTAGTGTCAACCTCGTCAGGTGGATCGTCCGTAGCTTCACAAGGTATCTCGTTGTTCAACTTTACACTATCCCTAATTTTCCTTGGACAGGGTATTTCGACTTCGACGTGTTCGGTATCCTCGTAAATAACACTCAATCTATGAGCAGGTATTACGGGATCGCTTTTCAACGATTCTAAACTATAATCCTCATTCTCCTCCTCTTCTTCGTCATCTTCATTTTGTGAATCGCAGCTAGAAATGGTATTTTCCGAACGTGTTTGACCATTAACAATCTCTGGAAGTTCTTTATCGTCGATCTTATCCAGTTGATCATTAATCTCAGATTTCCCATGTGGATTTAAACCCGTCGAGTAAGCTAAATAAGAATCCGAATCACTTTCAGATATCGTGTCGTTTGTGGTCGTATCATTATTCCTGCTCTTTGTCAACTTGCTAGAAGAGACAGAAGAAGAAGAAGAAGAAGAAGAAGAAGACGAGGAACTCTCCGAATCTGATTCGCTCGAGTCGCTACTGTCGACATACGTGTAATTTGGTACGGTAATCTTCGTTTTATCAAAGTGTCCAGGGATTACCTTTGGTATGTTCCGTTCTTCTTCCTCCTCTACGATATTCAAGGTCGTAGTAAGACGATCGTTTGCCTTCTCGTTAATCGTTACCTTTGATACATCGTTCATTTCTCGCCAATGTTCTTCAGTAAATACATTTTTATCGTTTGACGTTGAAATTGAATTTTCTTCGTTTATAGAATTAGAATTAGCTTCTGTACAGATTGTTTCTTTGACCTGTTGAATCGGTGGTTGACAATGTACCGAATATTGCGGATAAATATTATTTTCTAGTTCGAAATTATCGCACGGTATGTAATTTTGATGATAAAACGGATAGAAAACGTATGCGTTTCCATCTTCGTAACGACGATAAACGTACGGATCGAATGGTATTTTCATCGGATTTGGATCATTCGGATTAGAAAGTGTGGGATATTGTATTGGATGATAATAACCCCACCAAACGTCTGGATTCCAATAAGGAGGAGGAGGTGGTGGTGCTGGACAACCAGGAATAAATACACCGTGCTGATTGCCCGGCACGTTATTCTCGGTTTGGCAGGTGTAATCTGCTTGACGATTTTCTTGCGTGGCTACAACAAACAGCACATTGCATTCAGACAAAAAAAATCAATCTCTTCCCTCGCGACTTGTTTTTATTGTTTTAATTTTTTTTTTTTTTTTTTTACATATATTTTGAACTTTCCTTTTTTCCTTTTTTCTTTGTTTTTTTTTTTTCTTCTTTTCCTTTTCGTCACTTTCATTCCGTCGGTCGTTCGAAACGATGCTTTTTTATGCGTTATTATTTCCTTTTTTTTTCTTACTCTTGTTTTCTCTTATTTTTTTTTTTTTTTTTTTTTTTTTCTTATTCGTCGAAGGAGAATTCGACACGCCGAACATTCGTAAACGTCTTTCTATTTATGGCACAATTTAATTTAGGTATACATCTGTTACGTTCGTTTTGTTATTTTTTTTTTCTTTTCTTATCATATAGGCTATAAAAAATATAATGAAGAAAATTTTCACATTCGGTTTTTTAGATCATACAACATGACAAGTTTACTTCAATTATAAAACTGTAATAATTGTTTTCGATCGAGTTAATAATAATAAAAATTTTTTTTTTTTTTTTTTTTGTTCCAATCGATTTTATTCCAACCGAACAACTTTTTTCATACGGCATCTTGTTCGTGTATTTAGTAATTGAAATAGAACAAAAAAAAAAAAAGGAGGATATAAGAACAAAAAACAAAATAAAATTATTCAAAATATAACCGAACACTCTCCTCTGTACGAATGTTCTGCGTGGAGGAGAAAAAAAAAAAGAAGAGAAACTTCCTCCTCCGAAAACGCGCGAATCCATAAAAAGGGGGGATTGGCAAAATGGATCGAGCATCTAGAAGGCAAAAAGGGATTTTAAGCAAGATGATAATCGATCGGATATCGATCGGACACATGAGATATGTGAAGACGACAAAAAAAAAATATATTGATCCTGTGTTCAAAGGAAACTATCGAAAATTTCGCCAATAATGAAAGATCACCAAGCAAATGGTCGAACGGCCTCCTCTTGTCTTATTTCTTTTTTTTCTTTTTTTTTTTTTTTTCTTTTTCCTTTTCCTTTCCTTTTATAACTTTTTTCTTTCCATTTCTTTTCTCCTCTCATTTCTTTTTTCCTTTTGAATTGTTTACCATCGAACAGCTAAGAGAATACAGAGAAAAAGGTGAACGAGCGTATCTTTTCTTTTCTCTTTATTTTTTATTTTTTTTTATTTTTTTTTTATTTTTTATTCTTCTTTTTTTTTTCTTTTTTTTTTTGTTGAACTCTTATCGCATTATCGAGAATAGTAAATAAATAAAACGAAGGGGGGCGGGGTGGAAGAAGTATATCGGATTGAACGACAACAATGTGTCATGCTTTGGAATAACGTATAATAAAAAGAAGAAGAAAAAGAAGTGAAAGAAAGAACGAGGGAAAAATAAAAATGAAAAGAACAAAGTAGAAAGATAAATAAATAGAAAGAACGAAAGAAAGAAAGAAAGAAAGAAAGAAAGAAAGAAAATATATTATAGCAATCTCTCTTTTCTAAATGTGTATACGCACATGCAAGTGAGCACTATTATTTGTGCTTAAATCAATGAATATAACTGTACGATATATACATCATCTCGGTGAAGAGAGAGAAAAGGAGATAGATAGATAGATAAAAAAAAGAGAGAGACAGAGAGAGAGTGAGAGAGAGAGAGAGAGAGAGAGAGAGTGAGATAATAGATAGGAAGAGCGAAATAAACGTGAAGTTATTAATGTAAACATGCAACATTTCCGTTAAAGTGCCCAGTCCATTCGTAGCTCCGCCGTAACTCTTGCTATTAATTTTCTATAAACTATATACGTATCTAGAATAAGTACTTATGTATACGTATATATATACATACATATATATATATATGTATGTATGTATAAACGCCTATGATTCGTATACAACGAGGAGAAGGCAAAGAACGTATACGAAAATAAACTGGAGTGATTCAACCCGTTTTACGCGCCACGAATTTTCTGTATATATCAGTTACATATATATATATGTACCTGACAAATACATATGAGTGTAATATATGTACGAGTTCGTATGTGTATGATGTATGTATGCTCGTTAACGCATATCTTATGATACAAAATATCCCACGTTGGACGTATAGAAGAGATCGACTGCGAGGAGTGCGATCTGTTAGGATAGATCATATTGATCTTGGGTATGAAGAAAGAAAAAAAAAAAAAAAGAAAAAAAATCATTTCTACGATCGTACATACGATCTACTATTTATCAATATATTTATAATACCATATTTAATAATAAATATAGGAAGTATATAATGAGTGAAATATATGTAAGTAGTGATCTTTGCATAAAGTGTAGAACCAAAAAAGAAAAAAAAAAAAAAAAAAAAAAGAAAAACAAAAAGATAAGAAGAGAGACATCATTTTCAAGGATCAACATCCTATTTAATCGACGATAGAGTAACATCTACGATACGATATAGTAATCGAATCAATCAATGTAAATCTAATTTATAAATTTTACGACGCTAAAGTTTCTTCTTTTGAATATTACAATTTTCTTTTCTTCTTTTTTTTTTTTTTTTTTTTTTTCGTTGTTTCCTATCATTTAATATGATAATAATTTTTCTCACGTTAAATCTTTCGTTCGTCGAATTTCGAATTTTTCTTCTTCTTTTTTTCTTTTTTTTCTTTGTCGAATGAAATTCGGCCGAATTGGAAATTCTCACGTGAATGAATGATCGAAGGAATTTTCGTTATTCCTGTGAACACAGGATTCGGGTATGTTCCAGCGACATTATGCATTATTATTATTATTATTATTATTATTATTACTATTATTATTATTATTATTATTATTATTATTATTATTATTATTATTATTATTACTATTATAATCATTATCATTATTATTATTATTATTATTTTAACAATTATTAATTAGAACGTTTCTTACAAGTTAGACGCCGCTTGTCGTGGAACATCGAAGGAAGATAAGAATCACAAAAAAGCTTTTGTTTGCAAATGAATTAATTCATGAACAAATAGGCACGCGTAATGTCATCCCAATAATCTCCCATCCTTCCCCTCCCCTATACCGTTTTCCCACATTTCTCAATGAGAGTGAATTATTTATTATTAGAATTTTTATACGATGTAAATTTTATACGCGAGACTAATTGTCATATCTAGAAATATATTTGTAAAAAATATATCATAGAAAAAATTCTATAATATCTAAGATTTATGTTACTTACCGACGTTCTCAGGTGCTGTCATAGCTTGCAATATTCTGAAGGATCGCGATGGTATCGCGCTGCCCATATATTTTTTTGGCTCGGGTACTTGTTGCTCGCTCGGTGGTAAATTTGATTGCACGTCCTCTGCAAATAAGTTTTAATCGTTATATAATTATATTTTATTTATTAAAAGTACATACTTGTAAATTGAATGAATATATATATATATATATATATATATATATATATAAAGAAAGTATGGTATAGAACAAAAAAAGAGAAAGAAAAAGAACGAGAAGAAAGACATACCAAAGGTTTTCGAGTTTCTATTCTGTTTTTTATTTGCGGCATTCTGTACTCGTGGCACTGTGGAAGAAATAAATCAACAATCATAAAGATTATTTAATTAATTTGTGATCAAAGATAATATTTATAGGATCGTTCGGAATGTATTAAAAAAATCTATTAGATTTCCAACGACAAATAAATTCAATGTTTGTTAAATAAATTATATTATTTTATAATTTATATAATATTTCTATTTAAATTTAAATATCACTTTCTTCGTTCAAGAAAAACATTATCATCATAGTTTTTAATTACTTTTTACTCATAGAAAATAATATTATTGAGAAAGGATTATAGATTTTAACTTACTCGTAGCTGCCGCTGAGATCTCGCCAGAGTCGGTCATGTTTTGTAAAAATCGAAAAGCACGCGATGGTATCGCTGCACCACGATATCTAGGATCTTCCTCTTGATGTAGATAATTATCACCGTCGACTGTAAATCGTTATAATTTATTCGTTAATTTTATCGTTCAATTAAAAAGAAAATATCTTGATAAGTACCTTGTTCCTTGAATTTATTCATTAAGATCCTATCGTCCTCGGTAAGTTGTAATTTACGTAATTGTTCGGTATCAACGTCGTTTGAGGAATCTGTATCGGTGATCTTTTGAAGAACACGGAAGGATCGAGATTGGAGTGGTCCTGGTTCTTGAACTGGCGTTTGACCTCTTTGTTGGACGATACTATAAAAATTTGATTTAATTTCTTACATTTTTTTTGGGTTTTTTTTTTTAATAGATTGCCTCTCAAAGATTACTACTAATTCATTTAATTCAAATCTAAGTTCATAAGAAATTCGAGGCAATAATTTCACGTGTTCAAAATTTATATATCAGAATTGAATGTTAGATTTACATTTTTGCAGGGTCACCTCTCACGGGATTCATTCTAATATTAGATTGTTGAACATTGCTGACAGGTGTTACGTTCGTTCTCCTATCATCACTTTCGACCATGACAGGGATGACGTAAGATGGTGTCTGTGGAGTTTGCGGAGAAGATGGTATATAGATCTGTGGTTGTTGAATTTGATTCTGAGGACTCGTTTGGCCCCATCGTTGTTGATGATGTACACTCGGTTGTGTCTTGAATTGATGATGTCCGGGTTCTTGTTTTACCGCAAACACCGATGGTCTATCTTCGATCTAAAAATGATTAGAACGTGATAATAATATTTACGATGATCATTTTAAACGAGAGATTATTAAATTTTATTTTTTCTTTTTTTTTTTTTTTTTTTTTTTTTCTTTAATTGTTCCAGATTTTTAACTTAAATCGATTTTATAATTTACTGGCACAAATCAATGCCAATTAGAAGACATACACGGATCGGTATGACTCGTTCTTGTTGCTGGACTTGCTGATTGATCATAGCTTGACGTTCTTGTTGTTGCTGAACGGTAGGACTAGACACTTGACGTTTCTGTTGATAGGGTGGACTCTGTGGTTGAGGTTGCCTTTGTTGCTGTTGTTGAGACGTTTGTTGTTTTTGCTGAGGTTGCTGCCATTGCGGTATCGTTTGCTGATTTTGCTCTAAGTTTTTCGCCGTAGCGTAGGTTGGCTGCGTGGATGGGCTATACTCGGGTGATGAGTTCGCGGTTTTATTGACGCTCGAACGTTTCGCCCACTCCGGTAATTCTTCCTGTTGCTTGTTCTTATTTTGTAACCAAGGCGTTGGTGCCTTCGCCAATGTCACTTGGGGAGTACCGGGACTCTCGGGTGTATTCGGTTGAACATTAGTAATCTGGATAGGAGTCACTTTTGTCTCCTCTTTGGCACCGATTTTGGTTGTCTGTTCCACTTGTCTATCTCCGGCTATTAAAGAAAAACATAAGTTTATTAATTTTTATTATTCTCTTTCTCTCTCTGTACTAGCAAAAAAGTTAAAATTTTTCTTACTTATTTCATTATTTCTTATGAAATATTTTATAACTGTATATTCGTACAAGTTAGAACTTATACGTTGTTCTGTACACATGTTTTATATACACACACATATATATATATGTGTGTGTGTGTGTGTGCGTGTGTATATGTATGTATATATATATATATATATATATATATATATATATATATATTCAAATTAATTATATAATATATTTATCAAATATAATTATTAGATAATTATGAATATCACATTGAAAGCTACAGATATGATAAAATAGATCAGATAATTTTTTATATTCTTATTTTAATTATATAAAAGATCTAATTATAATATGTTGAAAGTAATAATAAGGAAATCGTTACGTTATAAGTTAGTTTTCTTTTAATCGCCAATAAATTATCTTAAACTTGTTAGATTTGAACTCTTTACCATTTGAAGGCACTCTATTGAGAATCGGCACTTGCGGGTTTCTATTGACCGGAGGCTGAGGTGGAGCATTCACTGGGAAAACCGGAACGGCGACTTGCGGCTGAACAAAGAGACTTGCGCCAGTCGTTTGTTGCACTGGTTTCGATTCAAGGGCCGACTTCGGTGGCCCTTCTATGCCCTCGTCGTTCGCGTTCTTTGCTACTCTTCGAGCCATACGTGGACTTCGAATCTGAGAGAGATCTAGTTTACCGCCCATACCAGGCGTATAGGTGAAGGGTTTCTTGTCCTTCGTTAAAATTGCATTTTGAATGGCTATTGGTGGTTCGTAGATGGTGTCTGAATTGGCCGGTAATTGGGCCCTTTTCGTAGCCGATGCCTGTAAGAAGAAGAAAAAAAAAAAAAAAAAAAAAGAAAGAAAGAAAAGAAACAAGAAACACATCATTGAATTCATCCAAATTAATAATCTATCTGTATCGTAAAAATAAGTAAACATATTGTTACATTCAATATATTTCAATGGTTTAAACGAAATAAAAAGTTTGAACAATAGATCTAAATAAACGACGATAAAAATTCGTTTATATTTTGTAATTAAATCACTCCCGGTATAATGATCGATAATAAAAATAAAGATATCGAACTAGTTATTCTATCTTTTAATTCTTACCATGTATCGGGTCATGATATTTTCTACCGATTTATCAGCTACGTATGTTACCTCGAAATGGTTAATTAGTGGAATTATCGGCCGTGAAAACTTTCATTTGTGTTCACATGTGTATTCATGTATTTATCTATGTATGTATGTATGTATATATGTACGTATATATGTATGTATGTATGTATGTATGTATGTATGTATGTATGTATGTATGTGTACACTTAAATACGCACGATGGTATGAAAACACGTCGAGAAGCAACGCGATAAGGCTTGCGACTGAGAAAGGAAGTCGAACCGACGGAATATGCCTTACCTCGGCAGTACTGATCCTCATACTTGGCATTTGACCGGGCACTGGTGGCGGTGGTGGGGGTGGTGGAGGCGCGGCACAAAATCCTGTAAATGATTCGTAATTTGCAGGAACGTTAATGAGTTAATAATAAGGGATCGTTCGTCCTAATGGAAGTTAATGTTACAGGTATGTAAGTTGATTGTTAGTTGACTTTAGTTTTACTACGTTATTACTTCCATTATAGAATATATATATATAAATTTAATATTGTACAAATCTATGGGTGAGTAATCAATTTAAGAAGAAGATATTAATAACAAATCAATTACATAGAAATCGATGATACCGATGATTGAGTTAATACAAATTTTACACGTCAAATTTGAAAATTTTCATTATAAATAATATGAAGGAAATGTACATTTTTTATTTATTTATTTCTTTTTTTTTTCTTTTTCTTTTTTCCTCACTTATCAATAATGAAAATTCTCGAACACAAATATGTAATTTTCGATTATGTATATAAAACTTTGCGAATAATATTGACTTTATCGATTGATGGACGTGCATATTGACTTGAATGAAAAAATATTTTTGAAGAAGGGTTTCTAAGAGAAATAAAAAAAAAAAGAAAAGGAAAAAAAAAAGAGATTGTCGAATGAAAATTCTTTATGTAACGTACCTGATATCCCGGCTTCCGAGCTCCTGAAAAAAAAAGAAAAGAAAAGAAAAGAAAAGATTGGTCGTGAAGAAAGAATATATTAAAATCGATATGTCAACGAGATAGAATCGAGCATTCGCTCGTAAAATTTAAGCAAAGCCTTGCAAAAATATACGCCCAAAAGTTTACTCCTCGTCCCCTCCAACGCCTCCTCCTCCTCCTCCCCACCCCTCCCCCTCCTCCTTCACCTTCTCCTCCTCTTCTGTCTTTCAGATCGTTCTAGACATTCCAATGTTATCTATGGCATGCAGTCGCACGAAAGATGAATCACCTTTCACGTATTCATATTTCACTTTACACGTATATTCGTAACGATCGGATGCACTCGTCAATGAGATTTAATTGTTAGTTTCATCGATAATGAGCACGTTTTAATGTTCTTAATAAGAATCATTATTGATAAGTCGAATATTTTCTTTTCCTATATTTTTTTTTCTTCTCCTTTTCTTTTGTCTAGTTAGAATTTTCTTTTGTTTGAACGAGTCCCGTTCATTTATCATCGTTAATAAAGTTTAGTTGGATTTAATCAATCAAAATGTGTCGACATTAATTGTAACATTATAAATTGTTTTAATTGTAATTTTTTCAAAGAATTTTATTATTAAACATTTACGAATCGTTTCGATGGCAAACAAAGAATTGTTTCGTATGTTGTTGAAGAAGAA